ATTGTTTACTAGTGCTACTCACGAGCAAAGTGCCCTTGTACATGGAAGCACCGCCAGGTCCCAGCTCACTGACGAAAGTCACTCGTCGCAGTTATCTGGATGGTCACGTCGATCAGATCATGGACAGGTCGCAGGAAAAGCACCCTCGCATCGCGAAACTTCCGCCAGCACATGAGATCATAGAGATCAAGTTGAGTCCACCATCGGATCGCCTGACTATGGCGCCTCGTTGAGCACACCCCAAAAGCAAAAAGGAAAGAAGACCTGACGGCAGCGATGATAGCGATGATGAACCTGTGGTTCCACCGGTGAAAAGGCGACCCACCAAGAAGTCCAAGGAAATCGTCTCATCCAGCAACATCAGCGATGCCGACACCAATGATACTTTGGAGTCGACGGTGACTTCAAAGTCAGAGAAGGCCAAGACGACAGCAAAGGCGCTCAAGGGAAAGGGTAAGGCTACAGCGACTAAGACCACTGCCATGGGCACCGCCTCTGGATTGGGTGCTGCCCCAGCTGCCCCCAGCGACCAACTCAAACTGATCTCTGCATTCAGTGCAGTGTCTCGTGCTGTTGCTGCCGCGTCTACGTCCAAACCATCACCCCCCACTGTAAACCCAGCTGGTAGTGCATGCATCCAGCCACGCCCCATCAAGCATCAACCTCCAGCCATCTCAGCTGCCAGAGACCCATTCACCGTGAAAGAGGCCAGAGCTTCTGGAAATCCTAAGGGCGTGTCCATGCGACCTGTCACTCCCTCAACATTGACAATCCACGAGTCTACGACAATGTCCAAACAGTCAGCGTTTGGACCCATTTGTATCTTCGACGATCCAGCCCTCTCCCTGTCCAAGTCCACTTCAAAACGCTCAGTGGATACTGAAAGGTCGCAAGCGGTAATCAGCAAGAAACCTCGCACCAACGTTGACAGACCAATGAGTTCAGCACTTGCGATGGCAGATAAACCATTGGAGGAACCAATCATCATCCCAAAACCCACTTCTTCTGTGGAGGACACACTGGTGCCTGGAGCGATGTCCATGCCTACTCCACCCCTGACACAAGGGGCCAGGGTCAATCCTACACAGGGATACCAGTGGCCATATGGCTTCTTTCCTCCGTTCAGTTTTCCGCCAGGGTACCCGGCCCCACCCCCTGGTTGGACCTTTCCGGGGATGCCGCCTTGGAACCCTGACCGTCCCGCAGGTAGTGCTTCTGACTCAGCACCAGTTCCGCCATATCTGCCTCACCCGTACTTCCCTCAAGGCGCCTTCCCTACCCCTTCAGCAAAGCCAGCCGAAGGGGAGCCTGGACCCTCTCGCCTGACATGAGGTCGTCGCTTCATCATATTCTGCTTCAAGTTGGTGGTTGTGCAAGATTGTGCTCACTCGATCCTCTGACATTTTTCTTGTAGCTCTTAGTTCTTGTATGCATTTTGAACTGATTTCGTATGCATTTTGGACTGTCATTTTGGACTTGAATTTTTTACTATTTCTTGGACTATATTCTTGACATATATCGTATGTATTCCCGTAATTCCGTATTTTTAATACCAAAACCTTCTTGGAATGATTCTGTGTGACATACAAATAAAAAACACAGCACATCACGTTGCGCTGGGTGCTTGGGTGGTGAGAGGTCTTCGCGCTTGGGCGGTGAAGGTCACACTGGGCACTCTGGGCACTCTGCGCGGTCAGAGGCTCAATACCTGACACTTTGAACACCTTGGGCTCTTTGGGTGCTGCACTTTGGGCTCTAAGATGAAGGCCCGATCCCCTTCCTAATTTGGATTGATCAGGAAGGTGCCATAGTGATAGCGACCTCTCAGGCCAATTACCATCAGTCAAATAA